AAAAAAAAAACTGGACGTTGAAAAATTCAGCGATTCATTTTTTCGACAACCTCCTGTTCTCCTTGCGAGACGCTCGCGTAGAGGTGAGTATCGATTTCTTCCGGAAGCTTCAACGCAGCAACGCGCGACGACGTACAGAACGTTCCATAGTTCGCCGACGCGACGAGAAAGTTCGAGACAACGAGAGTTACCCCGAAAAAAAGGCTGGCCGCGCGAATGGGAGAGAGAAAGAGAAGAGAGAAAGTTGTTGCAGAAATTACATTTTTATTATGACAGATTGTCAGACAGACGGAACAGTGGAAGGTTATTAACCGCGAAATGTGGGAGACCGCAAGTTGGGAGCACCCTGTGCACGAAGCCCCGAACTACTCGAAGCTCGTCGGAAGTTGTTTGACACCTTAACTGTCCCGTGCACCGAGATGCCTCGGGTGACAGTCAAGCTGTGCACAATGTGAGCTTTTGCCTTGGCTGTCGGAAGTTTGCGTACAAACCCGCCCCCCCCCTCCCGCCATTCCGCAGCGTCGAGAAAATGTACACTCGTACGTTGATGTGCAAGCTCATCGAGTGTTACGACTTCTGCCGTGTCGTAAAACTTTTTCGCCCCTTTCTTCTTTTTTACTCTACGGCAGTTCTCTTTTACTCGATAACTCGTCGCTCGTCGATTTTCATTTCAATTTACCATCGCGGTCAACGGCGTGACGCTTGTTAACGCTCAACGACGTCGTTGTACTCTCTCGCGTTATTTTTCCCTCGAAGCACGAGAGAAGAAAGAAGAAGAAAAAAAAAAAAGAAGAAAAGAAAAAAGGAACACGTGGCAGGAGAAAAAGAAAAAGATAGCAGCGGTAAATACTTTCCGGTCGGTCGCCGTTGGAAATTGAATTCCCATCGGTTCTCCCAGTGAATCGGTCAATTAATGCGCGGACGTTTGACGTAAACGTCCTCGGCGTCCTCGCGATAAATTGCGATCGAATTTTGCGAGTGCGCCGTGTATTTAACGAAATCGCGAGCCGCGGTCTATTAGCGAACGCATTACGTAAATTATATTGGGTCGGTGCATTAATCAGCGCAAGAAATATGCTCCGCACCACGCACACGGAATATTTAACACGGAGAGTTGCGCACCGTCCGTGGGCCTCGAAACGAGGCGCGACAGAAACACCGCGCGTTCCTCTTCCCGTTCCCGTCCCGCTACCCGCCCCAGTGATTACGGCTAATTAGAGATAGCCGCCGGATCGCGGGCAAGGGGAAGACTTGTAGTTAGTAACTGTTGCTCGCTGCACCTCGGATTAATACCGAGTCCGGTCACGCAGCCCAATAATAGCATCAATCATTGAATCCTAAGGAGCCATCGGCCCTGTAATTACGCCGCGACTGCGTACCACCAATTCACAGTTTGTAATCAATAGCGCGTAATCTGGCTGGAAATGAAACGGTCGGCCGGTGCGATCGTTTCGTGCGGATGGTTGCTGCCATCGCTTGTCGCGAGTGCCGGGCAGTTTACGTTCTCAGCAGAGGAAAAAAGAAAGAAAGAAAGAAAGAAAGAAAAAACAGAGACCTCGCAGTTTGAGATTTGGTAGACTTTATTGCTGATAGATGTACATCGATTATCCCTGATGCTTCGTAATTAATTGTACGAATCACCAGCACCTCTCACTCCTCTGGCACACAGGTTTTCCTGAGTTTTCGCGCGTGCTAGAATTTTCGTGTGTCTAAATACGCTCTGAATACGTACTGAAGCTACGAACGCATCGAGGATATTAGGCTTCACCCGTGCGTTGAATAGTGAGCTCGGTAATCTAGAATTTCATCAACGACGCTACTCTCACCGTGCACCACTCTTTGTCTAAACCGAATTGACTGCTCGAAGCCACTTTGCCTCAATACAAATGATGTGCCATGAGTGATCCCTATCTTAACAATCTGAATAGTCCGACAGATCAGCTAATATTATAGTGCCTATAGAGTGGAAAGAAAAATTTATCTATGGTTATCATAGATGAGTTCTACATCTTCGATTTGATGGAGATACATGTAAAGAACCGTAAAATTGACCTTGAATTTCTAGATCGAAATTATTTTTCGCATTGAGTTCTACTTATCACTAAGGTAAAATTTCTCTAAAGAACTATAGGTGGCAACCTAATAGTTCTCTTGAAAAATGGCAAAAAAGTTTTTTCTTTATTTGACACTGCGTGTTAACAGCGACTTTATGATTCCGAACGCGTGGATATCTATTTTACGTAATTTTCGTATTCAGATTTCACTAACATTTGATTTGTCATAGTCGTAGCATCAGTGTTCGTCTAAATAATCAAATGATAAAACTAACTGTTAACATTATTCAAAATATAAAAGCATTACACCCACGCGTCCGCAGTGTCAAATGATTAAAAAACTTTTTCGTGGAAGAGTTTTACCTTCATGATGAATAGAATACAAAAAAAAAAAATGCAAAAAAGGAAAAAAAGGAAACTTTTGACCTTGAAATTCGAGATCAATTTTGTGGCAAGTTCTTTACATGTATCTCCATCAAATCGAAGATGTAGAATTCATCTACGACAGCCACGGACAAACTTTTCATTCCACCCAGTATATCTATGTTGGAATTTGCACTCGACAAGTTCTCGAGCAATCAACTCGGAGCTTGGTAGCTCGAACGCAGACTTACTTGCACTTCCGGTCGTGTGCCTAACGCGTAGATCACTGCGTCGGCGATGTCTTCCGGTCGAAGGGCTGGCACATTTTTCAACACGTTCGCTACTTGAGGCGAGTGCCTGGCTATGTCCGTGTCGACGATGCCTGGACTGATGCTCTGCGAACAGACACGCGAGCAACAACGATAAACAACGGGAATCTCGAAATTACAAGGATCCTCGTGAAAGTATATTTTATAAAGCTGCGCGAAACTTACGGTGATTCGAATCGGTGCTTTAATGGCCGCCAATTCCCGTCTCACCGTATGCGTTAATGCAACAGCGCCGTGTTTGCAAGTCGGGTACAGGTTCCAGCCATTACAGCCATCGATTTCCGAAAAGAATCCACTCGGAATTTCGTGTCCCAGCACGCTGGCCCCGTGCAAAACAAAAAATTGCTTCAACAGGCCACTCGTGGCCGCCCATTTGCACGGCGTTTTATTCGAATCGACTTCGAGCGCAAACAGCCGGAACGTTTGTTTCGGTCTTAAAAGCGTCGATCCTCTTTTTTTTTTCGTTTTCCTCTTTTCCTCCCCCCTCTTTCTTTCTTTTTTCATCTTTTTTTCTCCAGCTGGACGGGAAAGAGGACCAAGAGAAAAATTCCCCCGTCTGCTTTCTCAAACAATACGTTTGCCCGTGCGTGAAAACTGTTTCTCAGAGGTCCCTCGTTATAATATTGATAAAGCGAGATTAAAAAAGCGAAAGATTACGCGAGCGTGTTTTTTCACCAGCCCAATTTGTATACACAAGAGTATCAAGTCTACTTTTCCCAAATGAAGTAATCGACCTCTCGTGATGTGCATGATACAAGTGGTCGAAATATTATAAATAACCCATTGATATTCGTCGCCTCGTAGTTGATTAAAGTACCCAAGCATTCGCGCGCTTATACTTCCTTTCAATATCAACGAAAACTGCCTTCGCGCTTGCCTATTTGCATATCAAAAACCCTTTCAGTTTCGAGGATGCTGCGGCAAAGAGAGGGCGCAAAATAACTAACGAGTAAATTAGAAATCACGATGACAGCGACGCCGGATAACGAGGAGAAGCGGTGGCAGCAATAGACTGACGAAACACAGCCGGCGTACGCGTTTCGAAAGGGTCTCGCGTGTGGATCGCGGATGAACGATCGGAGAAGACGAGGCTCACGAGCAACAATACCTGTTGATATTGAAAATATGCCCTTCGACGTTTCGCTGGCGCATCGAGCGCACCGCCCGGTTGATGCACACGGCGGTCGCCAGGACATTAATATTTAACAGCCTTTCGAATGCCATCCTGTCGCTCTCTGCAAGTGTAATTTATGGAATTTTTTAAAATGCGCCAACGAGCAGGCGAACGAGGTTCCCCGGCGTAATACCCTCGGCCCACCTCGTCCCTTATGAACCGACAACACACAGCGTATAAAGGTAACGGCCCCCCTCCCTTTTTTTCTTTTTTTTTTCGTCCAGTCGCGTATAAGTAACCGTTGTGTTTTTCATCGTCGATCTCGCGGAAAAATCGCGGGAGAGAAAAATATGGTAAGTATACGTTTCTGTTGATTTTCCGGTTTTAATGTCGCTGTAGGAGTAGAAAAAAGTGACTCGAATAATACGTGGATATTAAATGCGAAGAAAAAAACGTCATCAGGCTCAAAGTTCAAGTCCGTTCTCGAGCATCGTGCAATTAAACGAACGAAGGTGATTGCAAATGTATCAATTCTCTGATCAGATAGAATTTATCTTGGCATTAAGACACCTTTATCGATAATGCTTAAAAAAAAAAAAAAAGTATCTGACATTGTCAACGACTCGATGTGAATCGATTTCACGACAATTTCAACGGCAACGAGTCACAAATAAAGCCACGCATGCAAATTACGCTGCTCTGATAAATATTCAAGAGTACGATAGCTCCGTTTTTTTTTCCATTACAGTGAGCACCAGTATCTTACCAATGACGCGCGTATACTCGATAACTCCGGCGTTGTTTACCATAATATCTACGCCGCTGTTCCACTCGTTTGTATTCTCCACGAAGGAGAACGCGTTGTCCAAGTCCTGCTCGTTGCTCACGTTGCAATGTTTCACGCATAAATTGCCTGGCTGACTTAACTGCTTCCATTCGACGCTGAGAGCCGACAATTTGTCAGCTTGCACATCCAGCGCGAGCACGTTAACCCTTTCTTTTAGAAGAGCCAGCACGATTGCTCGGCCGATGCCGGACGCCGCGCCGGTAACGATCGCCGTCTTCCCGGCCCATCGTTCCATGATTCTTTCCCCTCACGTTGCTCCAGTTCTGCTACGTATCGAGAGAGAAACACACGGTGAATTGTTGCTTCCGTTCTCCTGTCCATTGGCAACCGAATTCCCAAAGATTTCCACGATGAATTTCCATGGAATTGAATAACTCGGTCATTCCCGAAATATTCCGACGTATTGCAAAAGCAACGAAATTTGAAAATTCGTAAATTCGTTCCCGATGACTCGAGATTCCAAAAAGAAATTCTGAAATTCCCAACTGTTCCAAGAGTTTCGATGCTTCAGGAAATTCCAACTGTCTCGAAAAAATTGTTCCGGGATATTCGACTCGGCACGAGGAGGATTTGTTTTCGGATTTGTTCTCGCGTTTTATCGAGACAATAAGGAATCGACAATAAGGTTCGTCGAGTCAACTCGTCACTTACCGAATGATCGTAATCGCAAGGTGCGCTCGAATGGCCTTAAATCTTTTTCGAAGTACTCTGCTCGCCAATGGAACACGTTGCACTAACTCCACGATAATGCGCCATCTACCAATATAATGCAAGCTATATGTACGCGTCGCACAAATGTCACGTAATCACCAATTGCGCTTGAAACTGCAAGCAAGAACATGGTGGGATATTTCATATACGTATAGACATGTTGGAACGTTAGGCTACGCTTACACGAAGTGCGCTACTATTATAACTCAGTTTCATTCGCGTAAAGTTCAGGGCATCCAGTCTGTTTCGCTCGTATTTAATTTAATTCCCAAATCAAGCAGCCGAGGTCTCGATTTATCACTTCGTTCACGAGAACGGATAAGCGGTATCGACACGACCACAAAACCTACTCATCTGTATGATTGCAGATTGCTTATCTGCAAGATAAACGCGTATGATTCAAACGTACAGACAAGTGAAAGACAGAATAAACGTAAAATCGTGAATCATGCGATTGAATCATACACTACATTGAATCAACTACGTGAATCATACGTTTTCACGCGATTCTATGATAGAGTGATCTTTCATAGAGCGATACGATAGTGTACCTGATTCTCGTTGCCACACGAAAATACTTCTCGTTCTTTATAGATGAATTATCAATTTCGTGTCAAGATTATCTTTCGTTTGATATTGTTTGATATTTTTGTACCTTTCGTAAATGTCTGAAAGATACGAATAACATTAATCGTGTAGACCAAGTGTCCAAGTTTCAGATCTCTCAGCCAACAAAAATTTGTTGAGAGCCTTACGCAGTTTACTTTCTTTTTTTATCAGTTCAATGTAATCTATATTTATTATATTATTTATGAAGATATCGAAACAAGTTTTATAATGAAACAATATATATAATTGATTGGAAAAATATATTTATATTAGCTAAAAAATATGAAAATTGTTAAATGAGAACGCTAAGCTTGTTTTTTTTAGATATCAGTTCGTCAATATTTGGTTTGATACAGACAGTAGCAATACGAAGAGCAATATTTTCAAGATGCGAAAGTTTTTCTCCTATCTTTCGTGTGCTTATATGAGAAAAGAATCTGCTTACAAATGCAAGTACTCTCTAAAAAGGAAAACACGAACATTCACAGTTAAAATTATTCAATTATTCCGATTTTGGTCATAGAGTTGGACACGTCGAAACACTTTTATTTGATAAGCAAGCGACATAAAGGTCAGATCAGCGAAAGCAGATTTGTCATATCTGTCTGATATAATCCTCCTGTATTGAAACAAAAACAGTCAACCATCAACGAGTCTGAAACTTTAAAAATCAGCCTTCTCTGCCGTGGGAGTTGCAATCGAATCTTTCAATCGAATGTTCTCTCCGGGCAAATATACGCGCGATTGATTTGTAAGATCGCCACCGCAGCTTATATATCCATTGGCAAACGACTGTCGAGACAAAGCTAGTTCGGATTACAGAGATCCGTTTATCCGGCAGTCTGATCCCGCCTGGTTTTACCACAGCTTTTAGCTTGTTTTAAGTAAAGTATGACGTGACCTCGCTCGCGACCCTAGTCACATCGGTTTCGGCGTGCGATGTCTCTCTATCCGGGACGCTGTCTGGAATATCAGACGCCGCCTTGAAATCCCGGAGATTGCCACCGACGACTTCCGGATATGTTCCGCGTTCCTCAAAGAAATCTGCTCGCTCGAGCCGCTTCGATCGGTTTTCTCCACGCCTCGCAGAAGAGAGACCTAACTACCTGATCAGGAATGCTGCTCTCGTAGTTTCTGCAACGAGAGGGCCGTAGCCGTGGCCTTGAAGTACACCGGTTACTCGTAGACGAAGTTTGCATAGCGCAATTCGAAGCAACGAAGCGTGACGTTCGAACTTCGACCAAAGTTCCGCCGAGTTCCTCGAGTCGTTTTTTTTTTTTTTTTTTTTTTCTTTTCGTGTCTTTAATCATTCCCTTGGGACGCAGGACGCAGGAATCCTCTGCGACGTCTCTGCATGGTAATTCGAGTCGATCGTCGACTTGAGAGAAACCAAGTTCACTTGCGCGAAATTCTTTCTTGAAATTCCCAATTTCCACGTAGGCTACGTAGCAAACGAGCAAAATTGAAAGCGTCGTAACGAAGGCAGAGGCGGGAAAACGCGTGTCGTAAGCCGAGTGTCGCGCTGGTGCGTTTAACAGCGCACCGTAAAATGCCCAGCTAACAATATCAGCTTCTTTCAGAAATGAAATGTATTTACAACATTTAACATTTTGCAACGTACTTAAGGAATACAGAGAACAATTCTAGTAAACACCTGGTCGACACGTCCATCGAGAATGATTTTGAAAGTAACGAATTTTTCTATAATGCAAAAATCAAGATCTTTTTTGTCCGTAATTTGTGTTCGAATGTAACAGAAAGTATCCAAGAAAATTTATTAACATTCACTTGGAATAACTTGTGAAAAATACAGTTTTTTTTAATACACTGTT